TTGTACCGGCTCATCCTGCACACACGTGCGCGCAAAAATTTTCAATATCAATGCACCCCGGTTTGCCGTCCGCTGTGCCAGAGAAAGATCTTCACCAGGCCAATTATCTCAAGCGATTAGTCACTGTTATCCGCGCGCGCAGAGAAACAATCAATTTGCCCGAAAAACGCGCGTTTTGAGGGCTATCGTTCTCGCGATGCTCCCGTTTCTGTTTCCAATTCCCTTTCTGTCGTGAAATCTGGAACACGCTCTTCTTTCAATCGTCCATAAAGTTTCAATAAAATTCATCCAGGAACGAATGGTTAAACGAACGTTCGCCCCGCCAATCCCTCCAATCCTCTCCGCCCTACCCCTTCCTCCCCTCGTACCCCCCAAAACAAATTACCTCTGTAGGCGTTCAAACTACCGAAAGCTATTACGCGGCTTCGCCGCTGGAAATTCCCGACGAAATGTAGACCTAAACGGCTCAATTCCGCAGGTAGGAGAGACAGTCAGCCAGCCATGCACCGGATCGTCGCTTTAATTCGCGCGCTTAACGAGGCGATACGAAACTTGCCGTCTTTACGATGTGGAACGTCGAATGAAACGTCGCCAGCGATACCCCGGAATTCGGGTATCAGAACGATCGATCACGAAACGTACAATACGTGTAGCTTACGATCGATTAGGTATTTACGCGATTAAATCATGATTGATGTGATCACTATCAAATGTGATTGAATCACATTTTAAGAAATGAGGAAGTACATAAAAAAAGACAAAAGGAAAAAAAGAAAAAAGGAAAAAAAGGAAAAAGCAAAGAAAGGAAAAAGATTATCAACTAGTTCATTAGTTTCTTATCTGAATCGCTGTCCATTGTAGTAACAATAGGAACAGACCTCTTTTGTAGATACACCTAACTGACGAAGTTCTACTACCAACTTTACGTGCTGCATTCTCAATAAAAAAGTTCAATTCCGCAGTACAACGGCGATAATGAAAAATCACGCGTGTGTGTGAAGCCAGAGAAAAAGGGACGTTACTTTCTTTTTAATTTCTATTTTAGCTTTCTATTTAATTTTTTTCCACACGGATAAAATATAATTCCGCAAGTTATGTCCGCGCAATTTACTTGGCCACGCAGTATTATGTAAATTATATCGTCTATCTTTTCCTCATTAGAAACTTTCGGTACTTGACTTTTATAACGCGTGTTTATACCCGACTTCGCTTATGGTTTCTCCTTAGCATCGCTGTCGCCCAGAAAACCCAAGAGGCATAACGCTTCCGTCGTGCGCCCGTGACGTCGTTCGATCCAAACCGCGCGTGATGTTTTGCTTAAAAATCGGAAGCACGTATAGCGAGAGAACGTCGGAGATCGCCGGCATGCAAAGCTCTCACGTTCGCGAGAATCCCCGCAGGACGAGGAGGAAGAGAAGGTGAAAGAGGACGAGGAGGAGAAAGAGGAGGTGGAGGCGCACAGGAAGGCCGTATACGAAAGCGTCGTTCTTTCTGACGTCTCGCGTGCCCAGGGATTATGACACGAAATTCGAACGGAACTAATTTGCCGCAGCCAAAGCCCCGGAATCTCCGCAGCGGCGGCGGTGTGTCTTCGGATCTCGAGGTACCGACATGCCGCAGCAATGACGTAAAACTAAAGCTCAGGTGCTCTCTTCCTCCATACAATTTACCCCGCCGCTCTCACCTATTCACGAACCCTCCAGCAAACTTATGGCATCTTCCGCTCTTTGCTTTCGACAATGTCGATCCCTCGACATTGTCCGGTGAATTTGATATTCTTCCGTATTCCCCCATCCCCCTCTTCCTTTTTCTTCCTCTCCCACTTTTCCCATTCTCTCCTCGGCCTCGTTACTTGCGCCATTGCGCTGCGGCGGAGGGCTGAGGTGGGGAGAGCGCAGGTGGGCGACATTAAATATTAACAATCGTCTGCCGCGGAGATATGAATATTGGACGCGACTTAACCCGTTTTCCGTTTTATCTTTGGAACTTGTCTGCGCTTAAATTAAAAACAAGCCGTGTACTCCCGTTTCCACAGGACTCGAGCTTTGTGTTTCCGCGTGTTCGCCTTCGGCCAACCATGAGATTACTCGCGCGCGCAGAATTATCGAGAACGGCGTTCTCGCTCTCCCTCTCTTTCTCTCGCAAATTCGCAGAGTGCATTCGCATCTTCACGGCGCCGAGTAGATGCATAGCTTTACTCGCGATGCGAGTGGATTCGTGCGTTTATGTCGCAACGTAAGTAATTACGGATTAAATGGCGCGGACCGCAGCTGCAGTCTCTCTAGGATGCCCAACGCGGTCGTACGCATGCTACGATCCTTCACGTACATATAGGATGATCTCGGCCTATTTTCGGTATTTTCACTCTCGTCCTCGTCCCGCAGACCGCCGCAGCTTTTGTCGTTCCCTTTTCATCGCGCGCCCGTAGATTCAGGTCAGCTCCGGTCGTTGCTTTTGCAGCAGTGTACCGACACATCTCACTCCCCTCCCGCACGGCCTCTTTAACCCTTCTACTATTCGACCACCCCATCGCGGACTCACGCCCGTTACCCTCCAGACGCAGTTAAACGCATCGCGACAAACGAATGTCCAGCTATCTTTTATTACGCGTTGTGCCATTCTATACTCTCTTAAAGTGAATCAGTGAATAGTCACTGATATCAGTTATAAGTATACTGAGCACTTTCAGTGCAACACTTATAATTGCAAATCAGTGTATATTCACTGTTTTCAGTGATGTTTCACTGATTTATTTTAAAAGAGTAGAATCGACCCGAAAAGCTGATCATTATTAGCTGGCGCAAACGTGAATTTTGCGATGACACGATATAATCCCTCGCTTTTTTAATTCGCGAATCAAAAAAACGCCGACAAAGAGACACGCTGCGTTTTTTGGGAGGAGAATTATTAACCCCTTACTTTAAAAATATACTCATTTGTATAAAGGTAAGTAATTGTTTCAAGAAATTATTCCAACATTCGCAATTGTCAGACCTACGTCAGTTTTTAATAGTTCTTAACATGAGACTGGAATATTATGTTAACGATAATAAATCAATTAAATAACTGTTGGAGAGAATTATCTTTATTCGCTAAGATTCGTTCTCTTAAATTGACTTCGGCTCAGTACTGACTTCGATTCAGTCGATTGACACCTTCAATTTTGTCAGACATACGGGAATCTCGACGACGAACACGCCGTGATTGGCAGCCGACTAGGCAACACTCTCTCGTTACTTTGCAGTTATTATCAATTATTATTCCCGCCCGATGTGCGCGACATTCAATTTTACGAGCCATTAGACGAGATGTTCCTTCGAGCGGCCACGTATTCCGCCCTCACAGTTTCCGGTTTAATGCTCTTTGAAATTTCGAGGAAACGATCGCTTACGTGAAAAGCGATCACGGGCCGATCATTGAGTATCGCGCAATTGCCGACGGGAATCGAATCCAAAAAATTAGCGCGCGAGCCATTTTCTATTTACAAATCCCTTCACTAATTCGAAGTGAATCTTTCACTAATGGAAATATCGAGGTAGGAAAAGAACGAGCATTCTCTTGCCCCGGGGTCTTTCCAGTTTCCTGAATTCGATATTTCGACGATCAATTCTCGAATTACAAAGCTGCCAAGTGAAATCTCCCGGAAATAAAACGAAGAATAAGATATTACTATCTGTTTGCACATCTCTACGAAGATTAATCGCCGAGAGGCGCTTCATCTACCGTCATTCGTGACTTCAAAGCTATTGATCCCCGTTTTCCTTACGTCTTTGTGACCGAATAATCGACTCTTAATTTGTCATAAAATACGCGCACATAAAAGGCGTCCGGATGTCTCCAAGGCCCCTTGCGTGATACTTCACGAGCTCTCTAAAGCGACAACTTAATTCGGGAAACGAGGGAAGTTAAGTCGCACTTCCAAAAGGCTCATCAATTGCCCGTCGGGCGTGTAAAACAGCAACTCGGAGGATTACGGGGGATCCTGATAATGGCGCAATTTCGCATTTTAGTCAATAGCGGATTAATTACGACGTTCCGGAATTATTATACGCAGACGCGCACGATCCGCACATACACACATACAGTTTCGCGTGCATATTGCAGGCTGCAGTTTCGCGACGCGTAATTCGTCGCGACGCCGACATTGTTTAGCAACCAAAAGAGGTGGAATTGTTATAATAAATTAATTGGCGCTGCAGGTACTGGTTATCGCTGCAACTCGGCTTGTTAGGACGCGATGCATTGTCGCGGCGCGTTGCGCTCGCAATTACGGAGCTTTACGGCACGGAGCCCGCAGTTCTTACATGCAAATTAGCGTCAATCATTGCCGCCGCTGGGCGCCAACGGCAAAAGATCGATTCCGCGTTCACGCGGAATCTCGACAAGAAATCCATCGCGCGTTAATCCTTCATATCTGACAAAAATTTAAGGAAAAAGTCTCTTGGGTGTTTAAGTGAAGTGATTGGTGCCTCCTCCGAATGTATTTATATTGTTTTCAAAAGATTTTGAAAATATATCTTCGACGAGATTTTTGTCATCTAAGGGCAAGATTCGATACTACTGAGACACCGACGAACAGAACAGGCCCAGAGAAACAATGTTAAGTAAATATGTCTTGCATCTATCATTCTTGCAAACAGCTCATGAGAAATCGACGTTGTTTGAGAGCAAAATTACCAAATAAAGGCTTAATCGGATCCCCGTATTTCGCGAACTTCGAGACGGCCGGCGCGCTTCTTCGAGCGAAGAAGTTCGAACTTTTGCCGATTACTCTCGTCCCGTTATTGTGATTTAATAAGGAAGCTCCTCGACATTTTTCTCTCGGTTATAAGAGCACAATAGATCCTGCGCAAAGAAAGCTACGCGTAAAAGAAGAAAGAGAAATTTTTTATTCCCGCAATCACGCAGCGTAAAAGCCCGCTTTCATTGTTGCTCGGGCAATCGGGTTTGCGAGACTAGTCAAGCAGTGCAAAAAAAAATATTGACTGTGGCAGACTCACCGAAGCCGGCTGGTACGTCTGGGTGAGTTTCTATTGGACGGTTCCCTGGAACAAGAAAGAAAGAATGTTATTCTATCGCACTCTATACTCTCTTTGTATGTACGTGTTTTAAACACATTTTATTTTTTAATTAAAGGATATCGACGTCATGTAATGTTTATTCGCGATACTTCGGCTCCGCGCCCAAATATTTATGAGAATATTCAGTAGCAGAAACGCGACGATAAATTCACAATAGATCTCCTCACGCGATCGACGCGGAGCATTGAAGTTAAGCAAGATTACAACGAGACGAGTTAGATCGCGCTTGAAAGCAAAATATACTCTCCAATCCGTCCAATGCAATGCATTATTCCGGGTTGGCAAGAAGTATTAAGTTTTAAACCTTTCAAAGTTACAGAATTATAGGATCGCGAAACACGTGGATTCAAGTGACGAGCTGATTTCCACAACGTTCTTCGTATTATGAATGCTCCGCAGCAGTCGTATGCGAGACGCGTTTCCCGGAAAACAATGCGGCAAGGATATGCTTTTACATCTCGTGCGATTCGTATCACTCGTCAACGAGTGATATACGAGTTTAAGGATTAAACAGCAGATAGAGTTGTCGCAGGCATACGCCAAAAGTCGCAAGGAATTATTGACAGCGTTATCCGTTCGCGCACGAGTTGATATCTGAAGCGTTGATAAAACGTTGATAAAACGCGAAACCGTGAAAGATGTATCACACGCGGGGTTAATGACCGGTGAAATTGCAAGTTGACCGACGAGTTTGGCCGACGATACGGCATAAATCATGAGCGGGACGTCCGCGAAGACGATTGCCGGACGGTTTTGCGTCAATTATTCTTGTTGCGTTCGCGTCGTCGCCTAAGAGGGGTTATTAAACTTTTCCTCGGCATGCTCGTTATCGCGACACATGCGTCCGTGCATCACACGTTTTTCATCGCGGGCTACCACTGACACGGCGCAGGTTGACGCGAACAAACAACCCCGCACATATCTCTCAGATGTTTTCTTTCTTCCTTAAGGGTATATTGTTCGTGTCACGAATATAACAAAAAGATCGTAAACAAATTACAGATTAATCTATGTTGCATCTAAAAGTGATCACGAACAATTTGATATATTCAGAGTCTGGGTCAAAAGTTATTCCACTTTCAAGTATGAGCTCAACGACGACAAATTATGTCTTAATGACGCATTAATGAATCTAACATTAATGATGTCAAACTCTAATTATTAATACACTATTTGACATCATGATCCCGCTACCTGGGAGTATTTTAAACCGCGCTATTATGGAAATGATGTTGTTTTTCCTTTAGTAAAGAGAAAGATAATAAAAAAAATGATGACAGAAATTTCAATTTCTGTATACGTGTGTTAGAAATAACATAAAAATAAAGTAATAAAGATATAATAAAGATATAAAGTAATAAAGATAAAGTAATAAAGATATAATATTAAAGTAAAAGTATGATTTTATTCAACTGTATCGTTGTATATGTAAACAAATTCCGTACGTTTTTATACGGAAAATAAAAATATTAGTATATTTCTAATTGTCATTAATTTTTTCCGGAGACTATACGGGCATCCTTAAGGCAGAGTATCGTGACATTTGGAATAAAATTTTAAAAGTGCACTATGCAATTTTTCATGCGCGATTTAATGGACGAGTGGATAAATATACGAGACGAAAAATGATTTTGCTTAAGGTAGTATAGTATGACAATTCCTGACACAAAATACACAAAAATTAATTTAGCGAAGGAATGTCATATAACGTCTTCTTTAGAAGTTTCATAACGTTTTTCTTCTTCGATTACATAAGAGAGAATCTGCTTCACAAATAGATTACGAAGATATAATTTCTGAATATATTTCACGGCAAGCGAACAAAGCACGAATAAACGATCTCGTTTACGCAGATCCTGCGGGTAAGGAAGAATCGCCATAATTCCACCTGCAAAATTGCAATGGAAATTCGACTAATGTCCTATGAAAGATTGAGCCGCATTAACAGGCACTTAGTGAGGAGGCTAAAACGCGCGACAAGATTGTCGGCGGGCAAGGCAACCGAATACGGGCAAGTATGAAATCCGCAAATCCCGCGAGCATTCCATATTCATGCAGGTATATGTATCCGTGCGGTGTAATATATTTGACGTATAAGCCAGATAACGGGTAAGAGGGGGTGGACATTTTTCATTTGCCTTTATATCACCGTCGAAAATGTGTTTCCATGGAGAAGCAGCGCGACGTTCCGTGCTCGTGTTCGTCACAAGCGTGCGGATTTCGATGCGACGAGACATCGAGAGGCAGGGTGAAATGTAAAGGAGGAATATGCAAGAAACAAGAGACATACGCGAAATGTTTCATCTAAAATTCTTAAGCCTTGCATCCTCGTCGTGTATCTCCTCGGTAGCCTTCTCTACGGCGGCTAGAAGGAAAGCACATCGCGCATAAAAAAGAAAGATTTCACAAAAATGGATGTCGACTCGGAACGAAATCGGGTTTTAGGGAGGACGGGGGGAGAAAGAGTGTTGTCGACCACGGAGGAACTAGTTCGAAACAAAACTCCTTAGTTTCTCCTGGGGGAACGACGCGACACGTACGATTTTGATGGACGCAACGTCGTGCCGGGTTAAGCACCGTTAAGCCGCCTCGCGATCTGTCACAATGCCCGATATGAAACGAATGAGTTTACGGGGGTAGCCTACGTGTCCACGTGTCGCGACACCGACGGTTGCCGACATAAAAGCCACTGGAAAAATCCCCTCGCGTCACGTATCCTGTCGCGGCCCTCCACGCGCGCTCCCGATATTGAAACAGCATCCCGGATCCTGGATGTGTTCTTTTGACCCTCGCGCTTATATACGAGAGAGAAAAGCTCGCGCGGGCAGGATCCAATAAATATTAAATACTGGCCGAACGAGTCCGATCATAAATTCGAAATTACATCGACGCGCAAGAAATTTTGGGCGGCGCCCACGCGTCCATCATTGATATGTGTTTTGGTGACACGTTAATAATAGAATGACCAATGGGAAATTGAAAACGATTTGTTCGCGACGGCCACCGCCGTCCTATGCTATTTGATTTGAGCAACGCGAGCCCGTAATAACAGAATCGACGATCCTTTGTGCCGAGCGTTACGATAGGAACGGAAACTCTGCGCCGATGAATATTAAATTCCTCTCTGAGCAGGATATACACACCAGCGAGTAAGCGTTGCGCTTATTTCTGCGTAGCTCGCGGGATGACACGATTGCAGAACGATGAATATTAATAAACAGAAACATGTGTGTGCGCGCGCGCAGAGACGCATTAATTATGACGTGAATATTTCGTCGCTTGTAAGATTTAATTTACAACCGATATTTTGCCACCAAACACGTAACCTCGGTATCTGTAGTATTTATTTGCGTTTGCTGTCACGGATGAACAATATTAAATTTTCCAATACAAGCATTCACGATGGATGTTCTCCGAGACAAGGAAGACCGCCCCTTCGGTCCCGCTTCGCTCCCAAGGAATCTTGCCTGTCGTCCTCGCGGTGCGCTCGCTGTATTACGAACAGTCACGGCGGATAAACCGTAGACGGGACTTGACAAGAGGGAGACAAGAGGGCGTGCGCCCTCCACTTTTCTCCGAGAGAGTTTTGGGTCCACCTCTCTCTCTCTCTTGGGTCCCGAGGCATCCACCGTGAACTATCTTCGTGAATTTCGGGCTCGGCACCGATTGAAATTGAATTACGCGAACTAAGTTTGCCGCCTGAAATCCACAGAACATCCTCCCCGAGTGACGATACGGAAAACAAAGGAGCCGCCTTTTGTCTCTGCTGTACGAGAACTCTCGCGCGCGCACAATGTCGCATAGGACATATGTTGCTAATTGTTATTTTTCCTGTTTCATGGTCGCGCGCGATCACTTGAATAATTTGTTGAATTTCATCCGGCTGTATCGTGCAACAACTTTTACATTCGATAATACACTGTGGATCATTCCGGCGCCTTCACAGCCGTTCGATGCATTTACGGAGGCCTTGTGTGATGCACGATTTACCAATTCTGTCGCGAAATGAAGCGCTCAAATCGTACTCTTAACTGACGCGAGTCAAAAGTTCATTTCCTTCAAACATCACTGGGATAAATCCGACTATGGAACATGAGTGTATTCCGGTCACTACCTTATCAATTGCGAATTTTGCGCTGGCGAAACAGATTTTTCTCTTATTACACACATGTACGAGGGTGGTCTGAAAAGTTTCCGACCTAACAAAGATACAAGTCATTTTTTCTGAAAATTGTTTTTTATTTTTCAACATAGTCTCCTTGTAAATCTACACACTTCTCCCAGCGATGCTCCCATCTCTGTAACCCGTCGAAATAGTACTCGGCGTTTTTCTCTGCAAAATAATTGTTCACGAAGGTGATTGCCTCTTCATTTGACGAAAATCTCTGTCCTCCGAGCGCAATTTTTAGATGAGGGAACAAAAAGAAGTCGCTTGGGGCTAGATCTGGTGAGTAAGGTGGATGGTCAAGCAGTTCAAACCGTAATTCGTGGATT